GTATTTTAACTTGTACTTCTTTAACTATAAATAAGGCTGAGCATTCTCTTAAAAGATTTTTACCTGTCTACTTCTGTGAATTAATAATATATATGATGTGCCTATTTTTCCATTGTTTCTTTTATGTTTTCTTAGTAATTGCTAAATGTTATTTGTAAATCATGGGAAACAATTCTTTGATAAATATATTTTGGTCTTTTATTGATGCTCACTTTCTTTTTCCTTTTTTTACTTACATGAAGTATAATGTATCAGTCTATCTGTGTGGATTCTAATGATCACATCATATTTAGAATCCACTTCTAATATGTTAAAGTATTTATCCATGTTTGTTTTTACTAATTTCATAATTTTATTCTTATCAATATAAATCTTTTGTCCCTCTGAAATTGATTTTCATAGGAGATTAGGGTCTGCTTTCCAGACTTCTGTTGTCTAGTCAATTGTCCTACTATCATTTACTGAGCATTGTTCTTACTGATCAAAGTTATACCTCTTTATATATGACATTCACATAGTCATTTGTATTTATGTCTGGAAAATCATTTCTATCTTGCTGTCTCATTCTTCTTTCTCTGGGTCCTCAATCGTAGACATGCTATAACTCTAGAATGTTATAAAGTAAATAATACATGATGGCAAATGGTACTTGTCACATGGTGTAATCACATGTCACAAATGCAGAGCTTATTGGAGAAACTTAAAGTTAAAAAAAAATAATCAAGGTTCTCTTTGTCTCGTAATCCTATGGAGAGATATGCAGAAGCCAAGTAATCTATATATCCGGACATATAGATTACCATTCTTAAATTCATCCGTTAGTAATAGGTTTTAAGATATTACCCAGTTATTGGTTATTAAAGTCAATGTTACTATTAACATTATTGGTTATTTATCTTGAATTTCAAGTCATCAGTCCCCAGAGTGAAGGTTCTTTGTTAAATAGTAGCAAAATTTTAATATCTAAGCTATGTTGTCAAATTTTCTGTTTCAGGAAAGAAATTTCATATGCTACATAGTCTACATTTTAATCAGATAAACCTGAGGGCAAATTTGGAGGAAAAGACTAAAATGTCAAATTTTGGAATCGTGCAATAGGAATGTTGACTCTAGTCCTTTAGGAAAATATGACAAAGTCGATGCTAACATTTATTGATGTTGTGGACACTTGACAAAAGGAAAAGACTCTTTCCCAAAGTAAAAGAGCCACTAGCATCAGGTGATTTATTACAATGCAATGTGCCTGCTTCACCAATGAGCAACTCTTTTGTCTCTCAAAATATGTTTTAATATTTTATTTGTTGTTATCATAACAGAGTTTGTACTGAATTTTCATTTACATTGATTTGTTTTTAGATCCTTGAGCCAGCATGAAACTGTGATTGTACAACTTTATTGTCGTTATTGTGGTAAAATGCCATCGAGTGTATAGTTAGTTCCTTGAAACATCCTGAAACTGTTGTGATTGTATAAGTTTATTATTGTTATTGTGGTAAAGTGCTGTCAAGTTGGTTCCAATTCATAGCAACTCTGTTTCCAAAGAGCAACTGGTGAGTTGAACCACTGACCTTGCAGTTCAAACCAACCATGCGGTCCAGTGCTTTACCCTGCAGCAACACACCAGGATTCCTTTATAGTAGGTCTTTGTATAATACAATATTGAACCTCTAGCACTGTTCTTCAAGATTGTCTTGGCTATACTTGACCTTCTGTATTTGCATATATATTTTAGAATTAATCTTGCTGATTTTAAAAAATATTCTGGTGAGATTCAGACTAGGACTACATTGAATATGTGAGTACAGATAATTTAGAATACAATGAGCATATTTAAAACACATAAACCTAACATGCGGTAGACTTCAAAAAAATTTGTGTAAAAAATTCATTATCTTTGTATTTCATTTTTTCACAAGGTTTTTGGACCCCTGTACATCTCTTCATTTATTTAGATGTTCATCCTAGTTTTACTTTAAAGGCATTGTATTATCTCCTTAATTCTTAAATATTGTTAATTACAGAAATAGATCTCCTAATATTGAATCACTCTGGCATCCTAGAATTAAGTATAATAATTAAAATAAGGACTGAAAACTTGCCAAGATCAAGTTTATACCATTCTTTCTTGAAAATATTAGAATTATTTACTAACTGGTTTGAACTACAAAGTGAGTGGTTCAAACTTACCATCCAGTCCTTGGAAACATTATACAGGGTTGCTATGAGTCTGAACCTATTTGATGGCACTTAACAACAGTAACACTCTATCCTTGAATGGAAGTTTTATACATACATATGTTGTTGTTATTAAATACTATCTAGTCCATTCAGACTCATAAATGATCCTGTATAGAGTTTTGAATAGCAGCTGTTGAATCTCAACCCGCTGATTTGTGGTTAACAGTCCAGTGCTTATTCTACAGCGCCATGCCAAGACTAGGTTTGTACATGTCTTTAAATTGCACCATTTTTATAATAACGATTAGCCAGGAAAAATAAAAAATTCATTTGAAGTATTTTTTGTATGACGTGAAGTCCTGGTGTGGTGCTATGGGTTAATGTGCTAGATAGCAAAGCCAGTTAGAACGTCAAGGCCAGTGGTTCAAAATCACCAGTTCCATAGCAACCGCAACTCCAGAGTTGCCATGGGACTGAATTGACTCAATGGCACTTAACAACAACAACATGTATGATGTAATACCATTTATTCACTCAAAACTCACACGAACACAAATTTTTTTTTTTAATGAGGTAAATTACCTATCCCAGTATCATTTATTCTATTTTAAAATTCTGAAATAAAATGACAAGAACATAATTATATGCTTATTGGAATAATAAGTATGAAAGTATTTATCTTTTGGTGTTTTATTTTTTTAAATTTTAAATATTTTTTAAAATACTTGTTTCTATTCCTTTTCATTAATTGTCTTCAATTAAATATTCAATTAAAAAAATACTTCA